GCCATGGTGCGTGGCCATGCCTCTGTGCGTCACCAACCGGGTTGTTTAGTACCTCTATCGGATGCTCTTGGGTTGATGAGTGTCGCGGTGGTAAGAATCGAGGACGTGGAAAGGAAACTGGTGATCGGGTAGGGATATGGTTTGGGTACTGGTGGGTGTAAAGGGTTATGTCCTGCGGCCAACAGGGCATAGCTCGGTTACACTTTTTCCCTGTCTGTGCCAATTAAGGACCGATCGTTGCATATGGTTCTAGGCAAGTCACAGACTTATTATCCCGAGCACATACTTGGGTATGGGCACAGGGAAGACTCGTTGCTCTTTTATCGTGGATCCGCCTCTTTCCGGACCGACTAATTGGAGGCGGGGATGGTGGAGGTCCTTACACCGCACTGAGTCCGGGACTCAGGAGTGGGGGCTTGGAGTCTAAGTTTGGACAGGGACCTAGACACCCAGGACAGGAGGGTGATGGGTTAGTCCTGCTTGTGCCTGGGGTACAAGCGGGGCATGTGTTTTCGGGGTACCCAGCTGGGGGCATTGATTCACAAATCGCCGGCGTTCCAATATGGCTTGTTTACGGTTTAACATCGTAGTAAGAACTGAAAGATGGAAGGTGATGAAATGGAACTGATTGCTCAACTCTTGCTTGAAAGTAGAACATGTGCTTCTATAGACTGGATATATAATAACTTAATACGACTGATAATAATAACATAAATAAGGACTCACTATTAGTATTGCTTTCTACCAAAAGAAACCAGCAAACCATAAAGCTCATCATATATTCCTTGGAGTCGGGAAACTATTCTCACTAGTCAGATAAGTCTTGTGAGGATATTGTGTACTCAGAGTTATGTACCCCTGTTGCAGGTAATGCATGAGAAGGACCTTTGTGTGGAGGATTCTTCTGGTGGGCTCAGATGGATCCTCGTTCTTATCGCTAGATGTTTATTTTAAATTTCGTTGTTTATCATTCCGCACTTTGACATTTGGTAATGTAATAATGTAATTTTTAAGAAACTCTGATGTATGAAATGGACAAGTGTTGTAACTCGTTCTCATTATTGGATCTTTAGGAAAAATATGGATCTTTCGGATTCTCTCTTGGGGTGTGCCCGACGGATACCGCCCGCTGTAGCTTGCCTTTGGGGTGCTTAGTGTCTGGTGGAAGGCGAGCACCTACGTAAGCGGGTTATTTCGGACTGTTCTGCCACATGCTAGTGGTTCAATCATTCTCCAATTTGTTAGCACAAAGGAGTTCAAGAGATTTCAGAATTGAAGCAAGCAAACATTAAAAAGGTGAACCCATCTTTTATTTTATTTTAATAAAATAATGCAGTTGAGAAAAAACTACAGAGGTAAAGTTTAGCCAGTGTTCACCTAAACGGCCTACCGTTTAAACGGTCGGTAAACGGTAAATGGTGGTAAACTGTTTTGTTTAGGGGGTAAACGGAAATTAAACGGTTGACCGTTTAAACGGTAAAAAAAGAAAAAAACGGTCTAAACGGAACGGAGATAAACAGTATTAAATGGGCTAAACAACTGTTTAGACGAACACGAGGTAAATCTAGTCCAGTTTTATATGGATAAATTTGTATACTTAAGTTTATTATATTTATAAATGTGTACACTTGATATGTTACATGCATAAATATCTATATTTGGTTGTTTTCACATGCATAAATATATATACATACAAAAATAATTGATTTTTACTCGAATAAATATGTATAAATGCTAGAATACTTGATTTTTTATATGCACATATATAATTATATGTATTTTTTTAAAGTACAAAACCGTTTAGACCGTTTAACTTCGTTTAAACATCGTGTAAATAGCCTAAACGCTAAACGAAGGACGACCGTGTAAAGACCGTTTAATGTTTAGAAAAACATTGAGTTTAGCAAATATTTTTGTCCTTTGTCATTGTTAATGAAAGAATGCATTGGAGCTTTCCTTTCGTGTCACGGTTTAGATTTCTTGTGGTGATTTAAATGCATCAGCAGGCCGCAGGCAGCAGCGGCGGATTGGCTGTCTGCAAACCCGGATGGGGGACAGAGGCGACAGGCCTGCCAAGCACTCTGATGCTGTCATTTTGCTTTGACACACAATAAGCACGATGGGCTCCGGCCATCTCATTTCATTGTTACCATGAACCATAGAACAGATTAATCCTTTAAGATGGCTCCAACAGATATAATAGCTGTGATTTTATTTGCAATGTTACTCAAGTATATTTGCTATGGTGATATACATGAGTATGGGCTTGTAACTTCATGAACCGTAGCGTTAGCATGGGCCTATAATTTCATGACCTGAACTTGCTTTTTTTAGGCTTGACCTGAACTTGCTAGTGATATACATGAGTGTTTTCCGGATTATATATATGGTAAAATATAATTGTGTGAAACTTAAATTATAAAACATAGGTTGTTTTCATGAGCATCCTGTAATGCTAAATAGCGTTAGTACGGGCAATCGGAGAAGAGGAGATCACCGCGACGCGACACGAGTATAGGGAAGGCAAGGGCGCCAAGGCCAGTGGACGCACTCCACTCTCTGAAGGCGCGGTCAAGGTCAGAGCACTTGCATGCGTGCGCCTTGACTCGCGCGCTGCCTGCCTGCGCAGTGGCTTGCCTTCTGGCTCTGCCGCAACGGCTGCCAAACCCAAGCCAGCCTGAGTGGTCTGGTCACCGCACCGGACGGTTGCTGCATGCCTGCGCTGCGCCTCTCGCATGGTGGTGGTGGTGCGCGAGTCAGGTTCAGGTTCAGGTCTGCGGCGCGGCGGTGCACGGACCACGAGACGAGACGACCTTCTCTCCTCCACCTTCGACACCGGCCGGCGGCGGCGGGCGGGACGACGGGGCTGTAGCCGCCTCGCCGCTTGTTCTCTTCCGAGTCCGGGACTTCCGGCACGCCTCCTCCCGCCTCGTCCTTGGCATGGCTGCCGCACCCGGGCCAGGTAGGCAAGGACACATCGCCGCGCCGCGCCTGGGCCCGCTGCCATGTGTAGTGTAGGGGATTCACACGGCTACCAATACCATGTGCGATGCTGTGATCTAGTACTAGACACCTCATCTGTCTTCACCTGCACCGTACTACTACTGTTTATATGAACCAGCCAACAGTATTTCTCTCACACATAAACGAATTAGTAACGATACGAACCAGCCAACCGAACAGGCTGGAGTCGTCCAGATAAAAAATGACGTACAGTAAGCGCCGTTCAAAAAATTGACCTAAGCTAAACTAGTCAAGCTTGACCACTAGTATAAAAGATAACATTAGTATCTATATATTTATTTATCATATAAAATACTTTCTCCATCCCAAAATAAATACTGTACACTTCTATAAGTTTTTAAAGAAGATCAATGCAACTTAAAAGTTACATGTTTACCTCTACCAAAAGCTATAGCGCTTTGGAGCAGAAAAAAGTTTTAAAAAAAAGCCTAGTAGAGCTAGGTGTGCCATATCTATAAAATGTACTTATTTTTAGGATAAATTTTAAATGCTACAATTATAATTATTTTAAATATCTATAAATGTATTTTCCAAGATGAATACAGTTATGCCTAATATGCCCATAAATATTATTACAATTTTTTACATATTTGATTAAATTTAAAATTAATTAACTTATTGGAAGTCGAGAACTGCAATCTTTTTATGACAGAGGGAGCGCTATATATTTTTTTGTTTAGAGTTAGATTTCTCTAATTTTTAGAAGCACAACTTTACAAAGTAATGCACAAGCATCTCAAACATCAAACTAGTTTGTATCAGATATATTATTATATATATATTTAAATGCATTTGATAGTGCATTTATTTGTCATTATTGTTGATTACTAGTTTTCTTAACTTGGTAAAAAAGATAGAGAAACTTTGACTTAGAATAAAAAATCATTTCTACTATATTTTAAGTGCATGCAATCCAAATGCCCAAACATTGACTGCAATGATGTATCAATATACGGGAATATTTGTGCACGCGAAGATTAGACATTTACAAATGGTATGTCACTATTAGACTTGTGTATATGATTTATCAATGTATATCATTAATTAACACGCGTCCAATACTCTAGCCGGCAGGTGGCAGGTTGGGTGGAGTGATGAGTTGTTGAGGCAGCCATTTTCGAGATTATTACATTCTTCATCAGAAATTATAAGGTCGCTTTTTATTATTAGAAGGTAGAATTAAGTATACAGTGTCCAAGAAAACTACCATTATCACATAATATAACTCTAAATTTTGGTAAGGAGAACTACCGTTGTCACATACTAACTCTGAATTTTTGGTAAACCGAGTAACCCAACAATTAACATGGTTGCATACCTCCTGTGAGGTCAATACTAACAATGGTTTGAATATACTATATTTTACATCACCATTGTCCATATATTTGTTTTGCACATGTGTTAAGTCTGTTTTCACACATCAATACGACAATACTTCTTCATACTTATAACCCATGGCTTCGTCGCATCAACCAAACATTTTGTTTCATATCCACCGGTTTCGCTCCACAATATGTACAGTAATACTTTTTATTTCGAAAATTAAATTTGATGTGTGAGCTCCCTCCCAATGAAACTAACGTGACCTCCATCACAACTCGCGTCATATGATCTTTGGTGGCGACGATGTGAACGTGCACCACCTCCCTGCGTCACAAAACCTCCGTGAAGCCCTTCAAATCCTTCCCTTTCTACCCCCCAAAGTCTTGCCCTACCCTCCCCACTCGTGTACGACGGAAAGGGAACACCGCAATCCGCCCCACCAATGGCGTCCCTCCACCTCGGCCAGCCGCCGCCACGTCAGCGGGTGATCGGGGAAAAGCGCCTCGCCACCCGGCTTCTGAGCTTCTCGCCGCGGCCGCGGGAGATCTCTCGCTTTCCCACCAAACAGTCGCTCCTCGGCTCGCCCAACACCCCGCATTAAGCGACAAAGAACCGTCCTTGGGCCGCGTGCGTGAAGCCGTGGAGGCGCCACCATGGCCAGCGGCGGTGGGCGGCGGCGGCGGCGGCAGGCGAAGCCGCGGGCGAGAACGAAGGCCAGGGGCAAGGGGAAGAGGACCAAGTACCTCAGCCTCAGCGACCTGATGGTTAAGGCGGAGGTGGCAGCGACACCGACGCCGCCGACGCCACCGGCGGACGAGCCGGCGTCCCCGTGGGAGGAGGAGGCGGAAGTGAAGCCGGAGGAGGACGCCGGCGGCGACGGAGGGGCCGGGCGGCAGCAGCAGCAGCAGGTGGAGCCGTTCGCGCTGCACCACCACCACGAGGCGTCCACCCTGTTCGAGGCCCTGCCGGCGCCGTCGCTCTCCGACATCCTCGGCCCGTCGCCGTCCGCGTCGCCGGACGGGGCCGGCTCCGGCGCCTCGGGCCTCCCGGGCGCCCAGGAGGAGGACCTCGCGCGCCGCGCGCTGCGGGGCAGGGAACGCTGGGTGTACTGCTCCTCGCCGGCGGCTACGGCCACCGCCACCACGTCGTCGTCGTCGCCGTGCTCGTCCGCCGCCAGCACGGGCGCGTCGGCGCGCTCGCTGCTGCTCAAGCTCGACTACGAGGAGATCCTCGCGGCGTGGGCGGACCGGGGGTCGCTCTACATCGGCGCCGCCGGCGCGGGCGGCGGCGGCGGTGACTCGCCGGACCTGCAGCTCGACGCCGTAAGCCCACATCCGCTCCCCGTAGAGATTCTTGGTCCACGCGGGTCTTGGTGACACGGGCACACGGCTGTGACCACGGTGCCGCCGCCGTCTGTGCAGGTGCAGGTGCTGGTGGAGGTGGAGCCGGCCGAGCACGCCGTGGCGGCGCTTTCAGGGAGGGCGGAGAGGGTGAGGCGGTACAAGGAGAAGCGACGGAGGCGGCTCTTCGCCAAGCGGATCCGGTACGAGGTTCGCCGGGTCAATGCCGTCAAGCGGCCGCGGTTCAAGGTGACGAATTGACGACATCACTTTTTCTGTTGATATGATGCTATTGCTGATGTCTCAAGTTGGCACGACATGAGCTTCTCTGATCTCATTCATACATCTCCTTATTAATTACTGCTGGGCCAAGGCAAGAATTTGTTATGATCTACTACTACTACAATAACATGTCTCACACAAACACTGCTCTGAATCCATGCTCTGAACTACAAATTGTTTGGTTTTGGAGTTTGGGATTTTGGGATGCATTATTATGTCTTTATGCATGCATGCATATATCTGCAGCTCTAACCTGATGCTTGAAATTTTGCTAATTTCGTTATGCAGTTGAGAACTGTGGGTTTTGCACATTACCAGTTTATCACATAAATTCACTGTGCCCAAAGCATTTGAGTTCCTAAACAGAGCATCTGTTTGTTTGTAAATGAGTACTCAAATCGTGTTCCACGTTGTCTGTCAGGAGCAAAACTAATAGATTGTCCATCATTGACATTCCATATGTGTGATGACTGAACCCACAAACATAATAATCCTCCTGCCCAGTTCTAATGCTGAACATGTTCGTGCATACGGCATACGTGAAACAGATGAGAGCTCTCCCCTGAATCTATCTAGTTCAATCACTTTCTGTTTAGAAGAACCTCACCATGCCCTACATTGTCTTTTATCTCACCGGTCAACGTCACTTATTTTATTGGACCTTTTATGTTTAGAGAATGATATGTGATCTTTAAGGAGAATGCATGAACTAGTGTAAATCATCCTTGATTCGAGAAATGAAAATTGCACAGAAATACTTCTCTACTACCTTGCAAATAAACCAGTAATGCTCTGTTTTGGCACATGCTATTTTGGACCACATGCTTCACCTTTTATTGCTAAATTATGTTGTGATCAAACCATGCATCACTTTACCACAAATGCAGCAGTGTTTTTAGGGTCCACCCGGGGATTGGGGGGATATTCCCCACGTGAGGCCTTGTTTGGTTACTCTCTAATCCACCCAAATCCACATGGGTTGAGGTGGAAATCTAGTTAATTTTCCACCTTAATACATGTAGATTGAGATGGATTGAAGTGCAGACAAACCAGCCCTGAGTTATTGCATTAGGCTTTTTTGGCAAGCTGGAAAAAAGTAGCACTTACAAATATGGGTTCAGCAACTTTGAAAAGCAAATAACAAAATTTTCTGATCGAGGTTTACATTGGATGCAGGGCCGTTTCATAAAGGAGAACGAGGAAAGCGAACTCCGGCCTACATAGCCTACTTTGATTCTTTCATCGCCACAAGGATAGCCCGTGTATATACGGTTAGTCACCTTGGTGTCTCATCCCAGTTCAGTCGCTGTACCATCTACCCTGGCCAAGTGCCAAGCTTCAGGTGTAGAATCAGTAGATGCAAAGTTATGTTTCGTAGGATGAAAATAACAGAATTTAGAGAGAGAGAAACGTCGGATGATGAATCGTTCTTGTTTCAAGATCCATTAGTTCTGGACAACTAGTTTGCAAACTGTGTACAAGGGCAATGTTCAGTTAGCAACAATTCTGACTCAGGCAGGACTTGAGAATTTGTCAATTTGATACCTGAGCCATGTGATTAGCACAAAGATGACCTGTGCTTCTCATATAATATGCTTAGAGACATTCCTTTTACCAGCAGTTGCAATTCTAAGCGCAGAGAACACCTATTTGTAACGCTGAATCATGGCATGGGGATCTTGTAAACTCGGTGGCTGGCACTGCTTGCTGTTTTCTAGAGTTCTAGAGTTCACTTCTCTTCTAGAGACGCATGGTGATTCTGTTCAGTGTATTTTCAGAGTATCAGTTCTGGTTTATTGAAAATGTTAATGTTCTGTTGGTAACAACTCAGTTTTACCCCTTAAGCAAGGACCGGAACATCTGAGTTTTGAGCTGTCTGATTGGTTTAAAACTGATACATGTTTCTCAAATAGTCAAATCTACTACTACTATTAGTATGTCACAGCAGCTTCTGATTTGAGTTTTGAGGCCTTTTTGCAGTAAGTATGCATGGCAAAAGAAATGGCTGCTATACATGTATCTTGTAAAACAGTAACAAAAAAAGGTACCAGGGAATGGGCTGCTGCTGCTGCTGCTGCTGGTAAAGGCTGAACGCCGGCGTACAAGCAAGTGCATGTGAATTCAGGGTGGACCTGACGGAGATGGAGGATCGGTCCATTCCGTCGTGCCGTTCTGCTGCTGGCGTCAGGTACTATCAACCATGCATGTGAGCCGTTCTAGGGCAGAGTGGCCCACCTGTCAGCCAGCGTTGTCTTGGACTCTGGGGAGTCGGGACTTGTCTTGTTCCTTGTAGTTGTGGCTGCCACCTGGGCGGCCGGGAGCACGCTGTCGTCGTCGGCAACGGCTCGGAGAGCCTTTGACTGCGTCTTGGACCACCGGTGGCGGATGGTCAATGGATGTGCACATGCAGATGTGGCAGTCGGGAGAAGATTTTACCGCCATTACGTTCACTGTATAAGGCACTCGAATTCAGGTCCTATTTGACCTGTGAATTTCCTCCGATATATCTATAGGAAGTAGGAACTGAGCTGGTTCATGTAATAAACCACTACAAAATTTTGGCGGAATTCATAAGTTCCATCCAGGCCTGTGTTACTGCTGCTGCTCCAACACTGGATACTGAGAGCTGCTGGGGCTGAGGAAAGGACTAGCCCACACCACCTGGAAGTTGCTACTGCTAAACAAGATGGGCCTCTCACGAGTCGCCAGCCAGCTTGGCCCAGTAGTCGCCGTGCGGGTCCAGAGTGGGTCAAGCCCAACAAGCGGAGTCCAGTAGCTCACTGTGCTGAGAGATGAGACGAGAAAGAGAGATCATCATCATGTAATTTGAACTCACGGTAAAAGGAGAAGATTGATCACTCTCTGCCCCATTGTAATTCGAGTGTTTACCCCATGATGGAGTACAAACAAGAAGCACGCCGGGGCAAAAAAAAGAGAACTGTCTACCTTCAATTTATTGTACTCCTTCCATCCCAGATTATAAGTCATTCCAAGAATCTTGAAAATTCAAAGCATCTTAAATTTAACTAAAATTATAGAAAGAATTACAAAAATTTATGACGTCAAATAGATATACTATGAAAATATAATTAATGAAGAACCTAATGATACTTAGCTAGTATCATAAATGTTATTATGTAGCTTATCATATAAATTTGGTCAAACTTGAGATGCTTTGACCCTCTAAGATTCTTATAATGACTTATAATTTGGGATGGAATGAGTAGCTACCTACCTACAGGATGTGAAAGGCATACGTAGCTAGTGCGTGGAATCGCAGCTTTCCAAATGTTTCAACAGGTTGTTTGTGCCATGTCCAGAATCAGCGTTAAACACTTTGTCACAGTGGTGACAGATGGCGTGCATCACTTTGTAGCCAGGATTCTTCCTTTGGGAGCCGTCCGCATTAGTAGCGACTATGACATGCGCTTTGGTCATGTGTTCCCAAACCGGTGATTTCACGGAAGTCTTCGTAGACAATGACGCCAAGGGCGGTGAGGGTGCTGGTTCGTCCTCTTTGAATTCAACGCGCAGTGAGATTTCCTGCGATGGAGGGATGGACCAACAGAGTTAGATATTATGATTACATGTGTAGAGTAGTTTGAGTGAGCCAGCTTACCGCGGGTACGAGCTTATTGGTACCATCGTCGGTGGGTAAGTGCCCTGTTCGTTTTCGTTCGGCCGATAAGCCATGGCTGAAAGTATTATTGGCTGATTTATTGTGAGAGAAAAATACTAATCGTTGGCTGAAAAAGTATGGCTTATAAGCTAAGCGATCACTCGTGGGCGCGCCACCTGTTGCCGTCGCCGTCGTCGTCGAGTTCCAGCGTCTTAACAGTCAGGCCGGCGTAGCATTGTTGTTGCTGTCCCGGCGCCGGTGGCTGGGGCGACGGATCTGCAACTGCACGCAGCCCCGTCATGCTCTTCTCCTTCCAGCGTCCCTGGTGGGGCTTTCTGCCTTTGGAATCGGGCCCCGTGAACCTGACGATGAAGCACTGCGCGTCCGTTGAGATGTCACTGCAGTTCGCTCTGAATCTGACGGCAGCAGTGGCAAAGATGTCACGAGTAAAGTTTGGATAGTGATGACATGTTAATAAGCTTTTAGTGGTAGTTATGAAATCTGGATTTTTTTAGTTACGTGTAGATAATTAACCTGGTATGTTTGGGCGCTCTAATTAACAGCATGCATCTGAGTACCCAATAATTTATTCCCAAAAACATCGTGTTCTCCAACTTCTACAAAATTGAGAGGAATAAATAAGACCATCTCCAAGAGTTTTTAATAATGGGCTTCCAAAATGTTAAAATTTTGGTCATACACACAATTTTGTTGGCGGCAGTTTTTTTCGCACGAGATCCAAACACCAATCGCACCTACGTCAACGCCGCCTCCCTGCACGGTTGTACCAAACTGCCAATCCCTAGCCTACCCTGCTGCAGCCTGTCCTAGCTTGGCCAGCAGTGCCTCCCAGTTGACCGGCAATGCCTCCTAGCTGGACACCACGACCTCCCAATCGGCCGCCAACCACAGCAGGCCACCCAGCCTCGCCCAACCACGATCAGGAGGCTGCGGCCAGCCATGGCCCTCTAGGCGGCGGTTGTGGCTGCCTATGGCATGGCCAGCGACGGCCATCGCCTCCAGGCAGTGGCTCCGGTCGGTAGGAAACCCTAGGGCCAACAAAAACAACACTACAACAAAGTGGAAGCAGTAGATCAATGGCTTACCTCTACCCTAGGTCGGTGGCGGTGAAGATCGGCTTCCGTAGACGGAGTCTGGGCTATGGCGCGAAGGAGGAGACAGCATGGAGAAACTCCGGATACACGCGACCTGGGTGCGCGCATTTTTACGCGTAAGGGAGGGTTTTTTTTTTCTCCAAGTGCCAAAAAAATTGAGAAAGTCTATTGGATACTCTTGAAGATGAGTTTTTTTATTTTTCTCAAAAATCTTGGATTGGGAAGGTTTATACCGAAGGTTACTGGTAGCGTGAAAGCTGATGAAAGCAACTTCCTTCCCCATTTCACACCGCGTTGCATTGCACGCAAACACTGTACACCGGCCATATAATAATAGTATAATATACTCATAATAATAATAATATGGATTTACTCTCACAAAGAAAAAGAAAGAAAGAAAAACTCCTTCTCATGCTGCTGCTGCAGCATACCGTTCTTGGGTTCCGTGTCTCGCTGCATCCTCACCTGTGCTCTCTGTGGACTATGGTGGAGCCAGATTGAAGAACATGTTCGCTTGGCTGATAAGTCATGGCTGAAAGTACTGTTTGCTGATTTGTTATGAGAAAAAAATATTATTCGTTGGCTAAAAAAATACG